GGAAAGTACATGTCACACACATTCATTTACATATACTCAACTTATAAGTATCATATATGTATGTATATCAATATGACAGAGATAATGATAATCATTTCATCTGATCTTTCGAATTAATCATTCCTACAAATTCCATTAGTTTATTCTGTATCTATTTCGTTGCCACAACAACAACAACAACATTCTTACGTCATTTTCTAATTAAAATCAATTCATTATTCTCTCTTTTAAATTGAGTTTCCATGCTAGTTATATTGATTCTATTTCCATCCTCAATCCCATACGACCCTCTTCTTCCGTTTTGTTTAATACCATGTTCATCTATACCTGTATGATAACATTGTTGCTTAGTGATTGAATATGAATAAATTTTAGATATAAGAAAGTGTTCAAGTAGTGACTTCTTGACAACTTCTCAATCTTTAGAAATCAGGTACTCTTGAAATTTATACTGAAAATAAATGAGTGAGTAGTATGCAAGTGGCGCATCAACGATCGTGCACGTGGGATTAGAAACCAGGATCTTCGATTTCGTGTGCGAACACTTAACTAATGAATGACTGAGCTGGTCAGAATCCAACGGTGTTATTGTGTAACTAGAGTCAATCCATGAAATTGTGCTACCATCCACCATCTATAGAAAATGAATACCACCCAGTGTAAAAACATTGTCAACGACAAAAATAATATACTTGGTCTTGTGTATCTTAATTGCGAACGTTTTACTACTTACAAGTTGTTAGTAGTTTATTTATTATAACCAAAGATGATTCATGTAGATTCAAGCATCTGCATACATTTCAATATGAAGTGAGATTGATTCGACTTCAAGCCAGGAATAATCCAATGAATTCAACATCAACTTTCATCTGATACCAAGTAATTTCAATAATGTTCGTCATCAATAATCAAGTTACACAGTTGAAGTAGAACTGAAATCATTGATCTGTTTAGTGGAATCTATTCGTTAACAGTTGAATTGTTAGGTTGGTGTTTTCCATGGTGGTCTAGCTATAATTGATCCATGAAATCAACGTTTTACTACTCACAATGAATTCATATTGAAACAGTTGATTAGTATCATTATACAGTTTGATACAACAATTAGAATCATCATACACTCAACCTATACAGTTTATTAGTACGTAATTAATTCATGTATATTATGTAATATGCGTAGTATTATGAATGCTAATTACAAGTTAAGGTGAATGGATGTAGCCTTATATGTGTTTTAATGGTAATGACAATGAATAATGTTAACAGTTCGAATGAGTGATTTGTAATATTTAATCCAAGCCCGAATGAAGGAGGAGGTTTGAGCATGAGGTTAGCGACCCCATTCCGTTGAAAAATAACACGCAAAAGAAGCGCCAATTCCCGCAACCCAACATTGAGATAATTTCATTTTGAAACGTGTGTATTTAAAAGAGGTTGCACTTTTCTCGTTCTATCTGACAATAGATAAAGTTGAAAATATACCTAACACTTCAAAATCTTCATTTAAATAGTTCAGTGTCCATACACTACAGAAAGGCTTTCTAGCTTCATAATTTCAGATATCAAGCTGAAAAATTTCACAGAGACAATTTTGAAAGAACTGTGATCTGTAGAATTTATCAAATAAATGATAAGAGATTACATTCACTTGGTGTTGTGGTACTTGTATCTTTCCATTCGTATTAAGTGCTGCAATCATTGAATTCGAGTCCCGGAATGAACATCAACACTGCGATGCAGGTACATTCAGATGACGAGTTTCAAATAGAACGAAACGCACGTCCTGAATTGCACTGCAAGCCACTATCCATCATTGCTTGAGAAAAGTTTACATTTTGTGTTTATCCTATTACTTAATGATCCATTCGTTCATTACATGGATTGTCTGATTGAAGAAACCTGTTCTATAGTGTAAAACACCTGCAAATATAGAATGCGCATAACAATGTTTGAGTAAACGAATAAACGATTTGTTAACTCAGTTTCCATTAAAAATCACATTAATGTTTTGAAAAATAAAACTACAACAGGATTTTTCAACTTCTTATAACATTGTAATAAGTAGTCTAAATACATCTATAAAAAATGGTATGCTATTTCGTTAAGAAAATACAAATAAAGAAAATCCATTCATGATATGACTTCAGAAAGACAGTAGGGAATCGAAAGAGCTCATTGTTTTCTAAATAACGGTTTAAGCGAAAATCTGCGAACGCTATTTATTTCTGCTCCAAAATTCCCTGGTATGGTCGAGAGTGGGTAGAGTCCGCTATCCCACTCGAAATACTCTCACATGACCACGTGCGTACAACCACTGACAGTGAAGTCTTACTCGTTACTTCCTCGCAGCATTACTTTTGTTTACGAATTTGAGAAGGGGAAAAGCGAACGTTAGCTCTCCTTCTACAAATGCTCCCACATGGCCATGCGTAAGCAGCCACTGCCAGAGGAATTCTACTGACTGTTTCCTCGGAGGATTACTGATGTTTACAAAATTGAGAGGGTGAAAATCGAATGTCCGTTACTTTAACCAGCTTGGTGGATACAGAGGATC